CAGTGAGAGGTTGAAGAGTCTGGTGAAGATGAGGGTGAGCTGGTGTGCGCATGCTAAGCAGATGAAAGTTATGGGGCAGATTTCCATTTGCTAGTAGCTTTTCCCTGGAATTCCCACTAAGCGGTCAAAGAAAATTCTGCTCTGAAGGACACCATCATTAGTGAGACTGGTTTATTGACGATGTGACTGCTGATAGGAGTAGCAGGAGTAATCTTTAAGTTTGCAGAGCTATAGTCTTAAAGAAACTGGATATTATTCAGATGATAAGTTAGCTGACCTAAAGCCAAGCAAAACATATTGAGGGATGAAATGCGGCACTTAGTGAGGTCCATGAGTTATAGATTTGATTACATCCAAGTCTTTAAACAATTCCTTTACATATAAAATTACCTTAGTTTGTTCACTTAAATGAAAATTGGCGACTGTGTATAAAAATTGTTGTAATTCCTCAACAGTTAATGTAGAAATGTTTGTTAAACCCCTTGAATTAAAGTTGAAAGTCTGCACTTTAATCACCTCTTGATTGTTTGATTTAAGAACCACTGTTGTCATATACAGAGTCAAAATCACAAAAATAAAAAAAGGTTCTCATGTTATAATGAATCGAGTGATTGGAGTTAAAATGTGCAGCTATGCTCAAACACATCGACTCATGCTGGGCACGAACGTTGTGGTTGACTTTGTGACTGTACAGTATACACATTTAATGACTTTGGAAAAAAAGGTTTGAGTGTACAGTTTTCTCTGACCACACAGTGCCAAAATGTACATTCTGACTCATTCCAGAAACTTGATGTTAGCCTGCTTTAATTATTCCAAAACCAGTTTTAATGTGTGTTTGCAGCTGCAAATCTCAGTCTAGCTTAAAGGTGTCGATTTTGGAACAGCGACGTCTTTCTTGGTCAGCTCAGCCCATGTAAAACAGCCGTTACTGTGGACAGTGATGCTGATGTTTCAGTAGTTTCTAGTTCTTGAAATTCCAAAAATAAATTAAAATTTGTTTATCCTGTTCTTGTTTTGTTTTTTTTAAGTTATGAAATATGTATGCTGTGCAATCACTCTACCCTGGAAAAAGAACAGTTCAATGAAATCATTAAAAGCACATCATTGCCATGACAGTCATGCCCATGATGAGTAAAAGTGAACTTCTGACCCCGACTGCATGAATTGTGCTCTATTTTCTTCTAAATAGAGCATAAAGCGAGTGTTCGCCCAGGGCACCAAACAGGCTAGGACCGCCCTTGGAGATAAGTCCAACCACCAGCACGGATTTTTCTCTCATCGTCTTTGTTCCTCCTCTTGCAGGTTCAGAGCATTCTCCGGAGATACTGGAATCAACAGCGGATGCAGTTTGTCGGTACTTTCGCCAACGCTGACATCTTCCGCTCGGCCTCCTACGTGGCGTCGTCGCTGACCGAAGTCCACCGATGCTACAGCATCGAGAGTCACACTGAGCACATGAACGGCAAGAGCTACTCAGACATATTCCGATCGGACAGCCCTTTCGTGTGAAGCTCTTCAGGTTCATGACTTACTGTTTTGCTCTCCTCCCAAGGTTTTTGAGAAATAACACAGGTATTTCTTCCATTTTCAAAGCAAAAAACTAAACCAAAAGACACCCTCCCATATTTCACTTCATTAGAAGGACTGTGAGAACAAAGACTTAAGATCCTATGAGGATAATGCCATCAAACAACAATAAAGTGTACTGCACTGTGCAGATAACCTAGGGAATATTTCTTTTTTGTATTGTGCGGATATCTTTTCTGGGCATTTTCAAGAGCTTGATGGAATTTAAAAGTAGACGGTAAACTAAGTGAAATACTGCTTCCTCTATCATCACTCCTTCTGACACTTCAAGTTTCATGGAGGAGCTCAGTGTCGCAGCTGTTTGCTGTTAAGCTGAATAGCGAGCATGAAGAGCAAGAAGTTTTATTTATATTATTTGTAGTGGTTATCAATGGCATTTGTAAAGTATATGTAAAATAACGTAAACTAAAATAGAAACGGATAAAAAGACACATTCAAAAATAACCTGCTCGCTTTGCAAAATGTCAATTATGCTTTAGCTGTTTGTCAAATAAAGATATGCGGCATGGGACGAGGACTGAACTCAACTTTGAGGTAAATTTTCTATTTATGTAGTTCTTGTTTTCTGAGTGAGGTCCACAAAATAATTTTGCCTGGCTTGGCGACAGCTCCAGTCTCTATTAAGTTAATACTTAATAGATAAGTATACTGGTTTGGCTCACTGTTGTTGTATTCCAAAATGCTGGAGACGTGATTGATATGTTTGTACTTAAATTTGATTGTGTATGAATGACATGTTGTAAGGGACTTAACATAATGTTGTTTTCATTAGTTTCAGTTATAAACCATTTGTTGTATATAGCAATATTGTCACATAAACTCCTAACTTCTGGATCACTTATTTCACACAATGCACTGATAATTATTGTCATTCTCACTGTTACTGTCATTTAAATCAAGTAAATGGGGGGAAACTGTATATGTCTGAGGTTAAAAGACAAAACTGTCCTGTAGAGCTGCTGGTTCTGGCCTTTAAAAACAGGAAGCACCTTTCCACTGCAGGTTTTCGGTGCAGGTGCAAGGTGGCGTGAAACTTTATAGGACAACATGGGGGAAACAACAATGAAAGCCAATAGGTTTGTCTAGGATCACAAGCGTGAGGCTGTCATGTAGAAGTCGACAGCATAGCTCGCAGGTCTGATATAAGGAAAATATAATTTTAAAATGCTTTAAACCTGAATTCTTTTGCAAAAGAGTTGCAATTGGTTGAAAAAAGTGTTTCCAGCTCTATTGAGGCTTTACTTAACTGCCAAACATGTGATGCATGGCAATGTAGAGTCAGATGGCCCCAGCCTAGAGACCAGTTTGCAACCTCCTTGCAACCACAATGCAAACTACAGGTAATTTGCTCGTGACAATCATAAGGAGGGTTTTGGTCTCTCTTTGTGATCGATTTCACCTGGCAGCAGGCAGCAACCTCCAGTAATCACTCTCTAACCAGTGGGGAAATCTATTTTTTTCACTTGCAACAGGCGGTTGTGTCCATGTAGCAGATAATTCTAGAGCAATGTGAACACAGAGAAATCTTTGGGAAATCAGCTCTTGGCTGTTACAGTCTACATGGTGAGTTTTTGTTTGAGTTGCTTGAGAGGACACACAGAACTTTGCTGTTCTTTAATTTTATGCTAGATTTTTTTATAATGGCATTTGTTCTGAATTTAACAAATAAGGACCCTCAGCAGTTTTCTAGAAGTATTTGCACTGGAGTGGGTACTTTTTGTGGGAAAGTTTAGGGCAATTTAGTTTCCAAAGGGAACAAATTTTCCTACCAGTGTCTTCTACAACTTATCAATTAAATCTTGCTAAAGCAATTCTAAGTAATTTTTTAAAATATTGCATGACAATGAATCCTCTAGTACGCAGTGCTTTGTGTCTCAGAAGAACAAACTGCACCTTGCTGTTAAAGAAATCTTTGACACTGGCTTATATTATAACATTTTATTCTTGGATTCTCAGCTTTGATTTCTTGAATTAGTAGTTTGGGATTTGCAAAGTACTTTTTTGGTGAGAATGAGAAGACTGACATACATGATTGTGTTTCCTTTGTAAATAATAAATAATAAATATCAAGCTGAAATATAGCTAGCTAAAGTTAGCTGGTAGCCTAATGGCTAATTTTTGACAGAGCCATGCTAGGTGTTCGATTCCCTGATGAAGCTAACCGGCTAAAATTCCTCTGGCCCTGGTGGTTATGGCTACATAACCATGGCTACTTCTCATCTCTGCGTGAGTGAGAAAACATGTTGTTTCAAAAACTATGCTACCAGGTGATTACCATGAAAGTTTCCTTACAAACATAGCACGCTATACTGGTCATAATTTGACAGGATTGCTTTGTGGTCACAAAATATCCAGAACGCAGAGAGATTTTTTTTGCAATGTAAGCAGTCTATATATGATGTATTTTACAGGCCTTTGATGTCACATTAGTCAGAGTAATGTTTTTATATTAGGTCTCAGTCACAGACCAAGAGACCAGTTCCTGACCCCCTTGTAAACTCCAGTTGCTAGGGAAAAATGTGTATTGGAGAATAGTTGCTGGAGGTTACTTGTCGTTGCTAGGTGCTGCACCAAAAAAACCTCATCACAATTTTGGCTGCTGGCATAATGCCACAGTCATGCATAGTTTGAATGCAAGACGGTGACCTGAACACTCATCAACTACTAGTCGAGAGCTGGTAAAAATCTGAAAAAGTGCAACACAAACAGGAAATAGAGAACATTCCCCTTCAAAGTAAAAGTTATGAATTACCAGCTTCAACTTAGAAGACAAATGGTTCCATTTAGCACTGCACTTTTCACAGTTTTGGAGAGTAGTTGTTGAGTGTTTGCAGACTAGTTGGCATCTTACATGCACTACAAGTGATTGCAACTATCCGCCAGGGACTATAGCATAGAGAGTTTTTCATGCAGCACTGCCGGTTGTTTCTCCTGCCAGTTGTCACCAACCACTTACCACCCTGTAGGGGAATACACATTTTTTTCTCATGGTTCCCAAATGGTTGCAGACTGGTCTCTCAGAACTGTGTGACTGTGGCCTTACGCCCTCAGATCCACTGTTTTTAGAATGTAAATGTAGTGTATTGACAACCTGACTGGAAAGCTGGTCTTATCGTTTCACATAAGTGTTACATATTTTGAAACTTTAAAGCAGATGTAAAACATGAATACAAGACCAAAATTGTTGTTTTGTGTCAGAGAGAAGAGCTTAAGTAATTTGGGCTGTTGTACAGTTTGTATTTTGTGGCTTTTTTTCATTCAGTTTTTTGTGATTTATTTGTTTTGTAACATTTTTCTGGATAAATCCTAACAGCACTCATTTAAACTGGAGAAACAATGCTGTAAATAAAAATAAGCTGATGTAAACTGAAATGCAAGACCATCTTTATCCATCTTTAACCATCTTAACCATCTTTCCCACATATTTATTTAAGGGTGGGATTTCCTTGACTTCAGAAAGTGTTTCCCACTGCAATGAATATTGTTTCCACACAAAGCAGGGTGTGTTACTGTCTGCTTCTCATCCAGAATGTATGTGAGCAGGTACCATTAGGAAGTCCCAAAGGAAAAAGACTATATCTGTACTTACAGCGCATACTTTATTAATTTCAAAGGAGAGAAGCTGTAAAAGCACTTAACCGGCTACTTTTCCTCCTAAACAGATTCATTTGCAAGGACAATGCACATTGATGAAAAGCATCTGTACACGACCAGTGTTTTTTGGGGTTTTTTTATGATCTCACATGCCTTTCATAGTCATGACCTCAATCCACAAAGGACTCCTGTTATCTGCGGGTTTTTGAGCAGTGCTTGGAGCATCATTACGGTAATCATGAACCGTCCCCTCCCTTGTAATTTTCTGCAGAAACATTTCTGCAATACTTGAGCTAAGTAAGTTTAATAAGTTGGATCAAAATTAGAGGATGTGATATCCTGTGAGGTTTTCGGTAGCATGGGCTTCCTTTAAAACTGAGATAAAGTCAGAGGTGCAAATTCAGCTTGAAGAAATGCACATGTAAAAACATCAGCGCAAGATCAGTAAAGATCTGTTTTTCCTGTTTACCCATCACAGCACCACTGGATAAGCTGCACCCATCTCTATTTACTTCAATGGGAATCAGGCCACTGGATGCATTGCAGGCTTCCTGTTTCTAAGAATACATTGCCATTGAACTCCTGATCCGTCGGCTCTTGTGTGCTGGTAGCGAGCACTTCCTCAGCCTCATGACTAACACTTGTTTACTGCTTTAACTTCCTCATGCCTTCACTGAAACTTTAATGCATGTTTTTGTCCCCGGGTTTCCAGCAGTCAGTAGCAGTTCTGTGAATTTGTCAAGGCCATTTCCACAGGACGTGACTTAACAGAGACACATGTGCGCTTATGTTTGGCGGCAATCCTGCAGATGTGGCAGAAATCGTCACATAAATCTGTCTCATATTGGCATCGTCACAAGTAGATTTAATTCAGTGTAGCTGATGCACTGATCTGCAGTAATTTCCTGTGGTTACGGATAGACTGGTATAAAAATGCAGAACATCTGTTACTGTTAGCTGATGTTCAAATGAGGAAGGTAGTCCTTAGGTGGTCTTGAGCAAAGTAAACGTCACAAATCCATGATAGTGTGAAACATGCTTTGAGACCGTCAAAGTAACGCCAAGGCATTTGACACAAAGTGCGGTCTCATTCCTGTTCACAGCATTTCAAACCATCAAGCACAGTTAAGCACTATTGCTTCACACACAGCTGACATTCAATTCAATTCAATTCAATTCAATTTTATTTATATAGCGCCAAATCACAACATAAGTCGCCTCAAGACAAAAATTATTTACAACTCTACAGGTTATATTTAATGTAAATGTCTCATGTAAAAGTAGCCAATGAAATAACTGCAATTGTAACTGCCTTAATTTATACACATCTACTGCATGCCTTATAACATCAGTTACGTGTGTGACAGTTGAGGCCTTAAGGTGGAGATTTAAATTAGGCCTTGGACTGTGTGGGATGTGTTTACAACCACTCATCTTGGGCGTGAATGTGATGTTAATTTGGGGTTTTTAATGATTTCTTTGAACTATTCCTTTTTCAGAGTAGAATGACTGTAGAGCATTCACATTTAATGACTTTAAAAAACAAGACTGGATGCCTGAAGTTTACATACAAGCTCAATTATAGACATTCAATTAAATCTTTGGTGGTAATGAAGATTCTACGATTATTTTTTACTTGACAAGGTTAAGGCCTGGTAATGTCTCATTAGTGACTACAACTGGTAGTTTCTCTATGAAGGATTTTTCAACAACATTTATTGTATTGATAAATACTCAGAACAACCAGAAAGTCCAAGGAAATCAGTGAAGATCTAAAAAGGAGAATTGTAGATTTGACAAGTTGGGAAGGTCTCATGGAGCCATTTCTAAACAACTGCAGATTCAAAGATCATCAGTTTAGACAATTCTGGAAGAAGACCCAAGTTTCCATCCTTAGATGAGAGGAAAAGTCTAGGGACCACCAAGGCTCAAGTCTGAACTGTCTTCAGTGAAAACATGAAGAAAATTTCACATCATCATGGACTGAGAGGGTGCCGACCAAGAAAGTAACCCCTGCTCCAAAGTCGACACCTTCAAGCTCGACTGAAATTTGCAGATGCCCTCATAGACAAGCCAAAACGTTCTATGGTCAGACGAGACAAAGATTGACAAATTGAGTCACAATGACAAGAGGTATGTTTGGAGTAAAGGCGAGGCTTTCAGACCTAAGAAAAATGTACCAGCTGGTGGTGGTAGCATCATGCTCTGGGTCAGCAGTTCAAATCATTAAAAGTCTAAAATTACCATGATGTTCATGCCCATGATGAGTGGATGTAAATGTTTAATCATAACTGTATCTCTGCATCACTGCATCACTGGGCAAAGCAATCACCAATTAAGTTGCTGTACGACTACTAGGACCTTCAGTTATCAGTAAACCATGCAATGCTGGCTTTGCTCTGTAATGTGAGAAGAAACATGTCTTTAAATCTTACTGAGAATAAACATATGATAATTCAAATAATTATTAATAATGAATAATTCAGAATCATTTTAATCACACTGCATCTTTATCCACTAGCTTTTCTTAGCACTTTGGTTAAAAAAAAAAAAAAAGGAAAAGCAACCATTAGATGATAAAACACTGAGTTTTTTGGAGCCAGATGTGTCTTTATTTAAATAACATTATATTAGCTAGCTGGCTTAGCAAACATAGATAATTTCTTTAAGTCGTCTTCAGGAATAGTTCTCCAGGCTTCTTGAAGGACATTCAAAGCTCTTCTTTGGATGTTTCTGCCTTTTGTTCTGTTCTCTGTCAACATGATCCCACACTGCTTCAATGATGTTGAGGTCCGGGCTCTGGGGAGGCCGATCCATGACTGATAGTGCTCCACTGTGTCTTTTTATATACAAGTATGATTTTACTGCATTGGCAGTGAGTTTGGGGTCATCGTCATGCTGAAAATGAAGCTGCTGTCAATCAGATGCTTTCCAGATGGTGGATCAAAATCTGGAGGTACTTTTCTGTGTTCATTATTCATCAGTTTTGACAAAATCCCCAACATCACTGACTGAAATGCAGCCTCAAACCATGCCACAGCGGCCACTGTGTTTTAAAGTGTATTTAAAGCACACTATGTTTTACTGTTGTAACTCTCTCCTGACCTCCTCAGTAATTATTGTTAATTATTAGAATGAGAATTCAATCAAATGTGGATTCTTCAGTCCATCAGATCCGTTGTCACTGATTTTCAGTCCAGTTTGTGTAATTTTCATACCTCAGCATTTTCTCAGTTTTCCTTCCTTAAGAATGGCCACCCAACCTCTTCTGTGCTGGATTTCTTTTCTTTTGATTAAAGACATGACTTTAAGAAACCATTTCTGAGCTTCTGAAATGGGATGTGCCATGTGCCAAAGGGTTCAGAACCACTGCATTAAATGGTTGATGGCTCAGTTCATAATACTGCATTACGCTCTGTATGATATAAGTGATCATATACTGCACTAAAAACAATTAACAGACACTAAAACAAGTGAATAGAAATGCCAATAAGCCCGTCATGCAGTTGAAGTAAGTTAATAGTTTATCATCTGAGTTTCTGGGTCAGTCAAATGGATTTTTTCTCTCCTGAAAGAGGAAACTCCCCGCTTCCCATTTGTCATAAGTGTGGTGTATGATTGGAAAATCCCTCTGATAAAAAAGACACGGTGAGATCTACCTTACTAGCACCGTGGGCGGTATGTTAGGAATGCTGAAGAGGTCTGAATGAGCTCAGAAAAGTGGGAAGAAGGTGTTCTGTCACTTCTGGCGTGGTTTGACTGGTGCAGAAAATGTGATGATACCAACCACCGGTGAACATACTGTGCATCATGCCATGCACATTTTGCAGTAGGTTAAAATTAGTTAATTTTTTTCATGGAAGAATGACTCAAGCTTGAAACAATAAGCTGAAACAATTTCCAGTAACTGCACTTCATTAGAAACTTCTCTTAGGTTTTCTTTTGAATTTGTTGAAAACAATGCTTTGCCCTGTTCATACACATACCATACGCACATCTGGCCCATGGCGTGCTGTTCTGGCCACTTGTGCATGGGGATGTTTCACTCCTGAGAACAATGGAATGAGTTCTTGGCTGTGCTTGAGGGCGTGGAGGGTGTACAGCACAAGGGTTGGGGTGAGCGATGTGGCCCCGGCCGTGTGGATGTGACCCGGGCCTGGGTGGGACCACAGGAAGTCTGCCGCTTGCTGCACGGCCCTCTCAGACCGCTGCAAGGTCATGAATTATCTAAGCGACTCATCACAGCGTGATGTCAACACTTCGTTGTCGACTTTAGAGGCTCCAAAAGGAATGTCACGATCAAATGTGTGAATATATCATGTGGAGAGTTCATTTCCCGAGTTCTAGCCAGCCAGGGGTGTAGCTAGGACCCATGACAGAATACTGCATTTCTTAAGGCAGTATTAATTAATCCTACTGAGCTGTTTCATTTTTTGTTTTTCTTTTTGTCCTCTGCAGCTGTATGACGTTCGAGCCATTATCTTGGAGGAAAAATATTCTTTAATACTCTGTTGCTGTAGGGTGAGGCATTTTTATCATGTTTGCAGTAGGGCACATATAACCAGACAGGTGTCAAACTAGTCAGCTTAATAATTTTATTTCAAAGTAAAATCCAAAAGTGAGCTCAGCTAAAATAAATCACAGGTGCTGTGCAAAAGTCTCGAGCCAACCCTCATTTCTTTATATTTTGGAGAAAGACAGACTTTCTTGCCACTTTTTAAAAAGTAATCTTAAGCAATGTTTCTCCAAGCTTTCTGAAGGCCTGTCAAGGTTTTCTT